TTCAGTGAGATGTGAAATTAGTATTCTGCGAAGACCAGATCGCGATAAATTTCAAAATACATAAATTTGAGGTTTTAGAAATGTGCATGCTTTTCAAAACCTATGCTTCTACTAACAAAAAATATGGATCGTTAAAGAGATTTTCATGATTTACCTCCCTTTCTCAGCCGCCTTCCTCACTATAAAATGACTCAGGGCCTCGTGAAATAGTGAAATAGAAAGTACCACACTCCTCTCTTACCTCACCAAAATTCTTAGTTAAACGTATGAACTAACTCGTTTTTTTTTTTATCATTCAAAAATTACCTGACACTAAAGCTGACGTGTCTTCAGGCTGGCTATTAGTAGCAGCAGAAGCAACAGTAGCAGTGGTAGCAGTAACTGGTGGTATTTCTCTGTCTGGTGACAAAGTACCATTCATTTTCGGATATGACCTACTCAATGGAAGGGGACTGCTGCTCGTGCTTTTTCGTACATCTTTCCACTCAACGTGTTTGACGTTAAAATCGGCCAGCAGTGACAGATGCCTTTTATAAGTGTCTATTAAAGCACGATATCCAAAACTGCAATAAAAGCAGCGATATTCAAATTTATTGAACGATGGCTCGCAATCATCCAAATCAAGTAAAATTGAAGGAAAGTACCCAGTAAAACTCAAAAATGTTGACATATTTCAACCACATCTGGATGATTTTGGACAGCAACAAGCAGGTATACTGTGATGTATGACTCCCGCATTTGCCGGAGATAAGGCAGTGATCTTTATGTTTTGCCTTACTGTTGTGTGTGTTGTATTCAGCAGAGGTTGTGAGCAAGGTTAAGGGACGGCCAGTGCGCCTTGCCAAGTGCACAGTGTGTGCACAGCGCTCGGCTGCTTGCGCTCTATCGATTACTCCCCGGCCACTGCGTGCATGGCGATCGGGCCGCTGTCTTCTTTTACGATTGTTTGTTATATTTTATGGGTGCTGTAATCAAATCCTTATCCACAAGCTGTACTCGAATAGACACAACACTACATCCACACTTTAGTTTAACCCAGTCTTACCAGCTATTTGCTGCCCAACTTTGTAACTGGTCCAATCCTTCCTGCAGCTCCCGAATGGTATTCTGTCCGCACTGCTCCACATATTTACGTGAAAAACGTTTACTGAGAAATGATAAATCACGGCGCAGTATGCATAGCTGAAAAACAGAACTTCAAAATTACATTACACCTCAGTTTCTTTCTAATTTTAATTTAAAAT